CGAGGCAGATCCGGGCCAAGTGATGGCGTGTCAGACGTCAGATCTGTTCCATGTTTTTTGATGTATCTATATAATCATATATAATCTATGTGCACATGCGGATGCACACATCTAATCATCTATCTATTTCTCCCTGATTTGCTTGATCATATCATACCGCTATATGGATGCTATATAATTAGTTCGCTGGCATTCAGTGTCCTACATGTCTCTCCGCTGAAGCTATACATCTCAATCATTCTCAATCGAGGAGCCAGCTGCTTTCAGTGCAGGATCGAGTTCAAAGCCCTTGCGAGCGTTGTCCGTTTGCCGCTGCTCTTGAGGATTCAAGCGATAGGCACACCACCTGAAAGCCGACCCAGCTGACCCAGCTGACCCAGCTGACCCAGCTGACCCAGCTGACCCAGCTGACCCAGCTGACCCAGGATTCGTTGGGATGAAAGTGAGGAAGAAATGTCATGAAATGTCAAATCTTGTCAAATCAGCTAAAGATTTCAGGGCGGTAAGGTGGGGGGTTCTGAGGCACAGGCGCTGGATTCTTCAACTCTGTGTCATAGCCCATTGCAATTCCAGGGTGGCACATGCGAACACCATCTGATGGTACATCAGGTCCCAGAAAGCTTGAAACCAAAGCTTTGATCACCTCACTCTTCTTGCCAGAACAATCCACACCGCGTTGCTCGCACAAGGACAATAGCTCGCTCTTGGTCTGCTTGGATGAAAGCTTTGCTGGACCTGCTCGCAGGCAGACACTTCAAGAAGCATGCTAATCTCTTGCTATGAGAAACCGCATTACCAGCAAAGCCAGTGAGACATTTTTATCGAGACCAAAACCCCAGTCCAAGCGACTAGTGGTCCAATCAGAGTCACTCCGAAGAAAGTCTGGGGTATCAATTAGCAAACGTGAAGAGCACTCCGACCAGTCTTCTGCTTTCGCAGTCAACACAGACGTAGCCGATGTAGCCATGGCTATGTCCAGCTGCGCCGACATTTTGGAGCCAAAGAGCCGTACGTGCTATCCACTTCTTCAGGTATGACTCAATGTTGTGCCTGAAAGGGGCTAGAAAATGGGTCTGATTTTCCATTCGGTCAAACCTTTGAGTTTGGACCACAGTGATTTCCAAGCATCATGTTTTCAGCGAGGGCAGGTTTCGGTGTTAAGACCACGCAGGTCGCCATGCCTCTATGGAGGAAGCGGTTCGGCACCCGCATTTGGAATGCTTGCTTTGAAGCACAGCTGGGTGCAGCGCACGCAGATGGTGGTGATTGAGATTTACCTATTGCATCCTAGTGCAGTAAACCTGGATTCTAAAGGACAAATGGATACAGATGGACACTGTGTCCTCACCACTGCAGCACTGCTTTTCAAGCTCTCAGAGCTGCTGTCCGAATTTTGCCTGGCGCTTCTGGTCAGCTCGACTCTACCGGTGCTCCAGAAATTTGGGCTCTTTTGGATTCTTTTGGGGCTCGGTCTGAGAATATCTTGGGTCCAGGTCTGGATCCCTGCCACCAGGTTCTGGAGCACTAGTGCTGTAAGGGCTATGCTGCTTCGAGCAGCCTGGTCCCAACCATCCTAACCTACATCAGGCAGCCAGGCAAGACTTCGCAGATCCTTTCAAATCTTTCAAACAAGTCAGTTGGTTGTCGTTTCTTATTGTTCAATTTTTCGCATCAACGCAAATTTGGTTCCCTCTCTGTATTCGCCCAACATTCATCTCACTGATGAACTCTTGCTCAGAACCCTGACTTTCATGCATCTCCTGATTCATGCAGCAGCCCTTGCTGCTGCAGTGGCCGTGCCACGCACCTTTTTGGGTTGCACTCTGAAGGAGCCGATTGTCACTTCAGATTTGCAGCCACCCAAGGCTTCGAAAAACAAAATAAAAAACGCGAGAAAATCATCAAGGATGTCAGGAGCCAACAGCAAATGTTCAGAAGCCATAAGAACTGCGAGCCGCGAGATACCTGAAAATTCCACAAGGAAGTTAATTCTGACAAACCAATCCAAAGTGGAGAAAAAAAACTCTCTCTCTCTCTTTATATATATATATATATAATATTAATATTATATATATATAATTATATATATGTACGTCTCTTTTCTCACAGTACTGAAAATGGTGGATTTTCCACTTCCAGAACTCAATCTGAGCTGTTGGCCCTTGTTGGGCTGAAGACAGTGACGCAAATGTGGAGGCAGTGCTGAATGAAGGACCTGTCAGGGTAGGGACACATGGAGATTCTTCAAAATTTGGTACGGAAAAGTGATGAGATTATCATAAGTCATCTGGAAAAACTAATATCTATGTTAAAGTCTATATCTGTTTATTTATCTATTTATTTGTTTATTTATACATGTCGAAAAGTTGCCCATCTAAATAGTTCTAGATGATCTCTGGGCCCCGGGTCGAAAAATCTTGACCCATACCCGAGACATGTCCGCAGCTTCGTTACTTTGGCGCCTGTGGCATGCAATGGCAATAGACCTTTCGGGGGCTGCAGCTGGTAGCTGGCCTGTGCTGTCGAAAGGGAAGCCCAAAATCAGCTGAAAAGGCTCTGTCTCTCGTCTCTGTCTCCTTCTCCCATGGTGTTTTCCCTGTCTTTTACCATCTAAAACATCCAGGTCTGATCAGGACGGGAAGTTGTTCCCATCCAGCCTGCACAGCGCTTGCACGTGCAGCTAGCACCTGGGAATCCAATGGGAAGCACGCACCAACCCAGGGGAAAAACATGGAAAAACTCATGGCTTTTCCAGTATTAAAACAAAAATAGAAAAAATGTCCAGCAAAATCTGGTGATTTTTTGAGGCGCTCCTCAGCTCCCTCCCATCCAAGATATCCAAGGCGCCATGTCAGCTGCTGGCATCGGAAGGGGCAAGGCGCAGGCCGTGGATGATCTCAGCTCATTGACCTGCCGAAAATGACACCAACTAGGCACTTAGTCTGCAGCCCTATGGAAGGATGTATTTTGTTCATGCTTTTCAATAGGTTGGCAAATGCCGTAATACCATGCAATGCCAGCATGACTGGCTCAATCAAACATAGCGTGCCTTCTCTCTGAAGTGTGCATCTCTGTCTGAGAGTACCAGCTCATTGCCTGCAGTTCGGCAGGGAATGTTTCTAGTATATGGTAGGTCAATCCCATTCTGAGTTTGCTGCTGTCTACATCCTCCACATGCCTAACCAGATCTAACCAGAAAGCCAGCAAACGTTTCACAAAATCAGAGGTTTGGCACTGTGGAAAGCTGTAGCTTGGTCTTCAAGACCTCACGAATATTCTAAGCTTAGAGCCTGCAGAACATACCGCTGAATAACCTCTCTAAAATACCCGACTCCTGCCAAGTCCAACCTTGAATTCTGCCAAGGACTCCGTTGAAACAGGTTAAGACGTAGCTTTGCAAGGCTGTGTAGGTCTGAATGCCTATAAATTTGGCAAAAATTGTCGAAATCCATTGTCAGTGTTGAGGTATGTTCAGCTTTAGTGATGCGAAGGTGATATATATGATATATAGTTCAGTGTTCCTATAGGCATATATTATATATTATATTATAATATCAAAAAAAAAATATATATATATATACTTGAGGCCGGGGGTGGATGACGAAAGCTAGCGGGGTAGGAGAAAGAAGGAAGGGAAGAGGTGAGTTGCGGAGGGACTGTCATCATCGTGTCGCGGCATTGTTCGTCCCAACGAGGATGCAACAATGATATATTGATATATGATATATAACAATGATATATATGGGGGAGGGGGCAGGGGGGGGCCCTTTCGCGGGAAAAATCACGTGATGTCCTTGGGGAGCCCCGGAATACGTGCTAAAGCAAGAAGACTATAGCGAGCTGACGCTAGCTTTCGTGAGAATGACAATAATTTCCAATAATGATAAAATGTAATTGAATAACGATGATGATGATGATGATGATGACGAGGATGATGATGATGATGATGACGATGATGATGACGATGACGATGACTGTGAATATAATGCACCATCTGGGACAGAGGTGCATGTTAACAATCGTGTCAGCGCTTCAGATCCAAAATCTCAGCCGCTTAGGCTTAAATTCATGAAGCATATGCCGTTTGGTGCTCAACACCAATTGAAATGATTTTCTTGATCAAAAACGCCAAAGCACAGTTGATTTTTGGTGCAGAACACACGAAATTTTCTCCTGAGAAAGAGTATTGATTTTTGGACAGTGATAAGCCAAGTTTTGCACAATTCCTGCCGGAATTGTGAATCCAAAGGTGCAGTGCAAAGAGTGAGGATCTCATTCCATAGAGATTTAGTTTGATAATGTCTGTGCATCTTTGATGCATCCGTCGGTAGACATAAACTTAGTGCAGCAGATGTCACGAGAGCTTGAACTAAATTTCTTGGGAGTGCATGCTCCACTGCGACAGTCAGAAATATCTTCAGATGGGAAAGCTGCTCACAACTGAGAACAGTTGTGGAAAATGTGAGAGAAACCGATTCCAACACTCTAGACTTTATGCCATTTGCTTGTCTTCAGAAGCCATCGGCAACCACATGTAACTACAAGCATCCGAGCATTGACCTATAGTGCTTAGCGCAGTGCGATTTATTTGGATTGTGCCCGTGCACTCAGTTCAGAGAGTCTCGCAGTTGTGATCTCGGATTTAATTTGCGAAGCCATAATCAGTTGCACATATTTCTCCGTTTTTTTGGTTTTGTGCAATCTTCACATTTGGTGGAACCAAATGTTTGCTTGAATGTTCTGAACTGCAGAAAGAGCCACTTGAGAAGTGGTGGAAACGTAGTGAGAGCAGGAAAGTAGACAAGCCAAGTGTCTGAGCGAATGACCATCTCAGCCAAGAACAGTGAGACATAGTTTCAGAATTTGTCACTTAGATCCACTTTAAATTTGGACTGATTTGCAAATTTCGTTCACTGCTGTTCACTCATTGTTTTGCATGTGACACAGAAGAAATTGCTTGACACCAACTTTTGCACCATAGAAGGTGCTAATTAGGTCAACGTTTGGGTCGACAAGAATTTCCAAGTGAGTAGGCTGTGAGAGAACAGAACTGAAGGACTTGGATCTAACCCAAACTGATGCAAAGAAAACAGTTTTTCATCCTGCCAAAGGCTGGATGTGCTGTCCATGGAATAATGAATTCCATCCCGGAATCTGGCTCAAGGGCCACACCGCGATTATGGAAAAGATCAGAACAGAGATTTCACTGGGAGTGACATCATAAGAACTCACATTTTAAGATCTTGAAAGGTATCTGGTTGACAACCTACTGTTTATCCCCTGGGGCTGTTAAATTCCGCATGGTAGCGGAGCACGTGGTGCTCAGAAAGTAGTTGATCCAGTTTTCAGTTGGGACAACGCCCCCAATAGGGACAACATAGAATTACAACCAGTTTTTCCGGTGTGCAGCCATGGCCTCTGGAAGGGAGCGGTCTCGTGAACTTGATGACCGTGGGAGATCGCGTCAAAGGATCGAAAGTGGTCGCCCAATGATGGTCTCTGAGCGTCACAGATCGTTGCCTGTTCCGTCCCTTGGATCCATGCAGCCAGATGCCAAAACTCTTGCGCTTGAGAAGCAGGTTCATGAACTCCAAGCGAACTTAGTGAATATGGGAAAGAATCTGGAGACTGTGGTTGAGCAGATGAAGGGACAACAGTCAGCCCTTCTTGCTGCCAGCAAAGCGTTTCAAAGTCAACAGGTTCAATTGAATTCCTTGCAAAGTGCTGCGCAGAATGCAGCAGCACAAATCCCTGCAGGTAGCAACACGCCTGTTGATCCGACTTCGCACGCCACAGATTCCAGGAAGATCGAGAGTTTGTCCAGCCCATTCTCTTCGCCTCTTGGCGGAGGACTTGGTTTTGGTGACTTGTCGAGTGCCCCAACAGCCACTAATCCAGCTGTGCGCATTCCAGGTGTGGAGAGCAGTCAGGCCCGGGTCATGAATCAAGCTGGCTCGGAGACAGTGG